GTGAATTTTTGCTCCTTAAAATTTTGCAAAATTTATGCTTCTGTTTGGTAGGGTGCCTCATTATGGCTTTGGAACGGCGGCTTCTGCGACGAAGTAGTGCTGTTTAGTACAGTCGGTGACACCTCGAAACCGCCAAAGTTCTGCCAGGTATATCTGTCTTGAGAAATGCGAACTGACAATTCTTTCAGGAGACGAAATGAACATCAGAATCAACAGCAGGCTGATTACCAGACGACGCAGCATCGGCCAAAGTAATTGAGATTAACTGCTAAGCGCACAGGAAGAAAAGCACGCTGTGAGCTGCAGCTGGTCAAAGTATTAATTTTCAAAATCAAAGCCGAAAACTTATCGTGTGCTGTTTAAGAAATCTGTAAAGGAAGCCTTCTATCTCTCTTTTGCTTGATTAGATAAAAGATTGTCCACTAGAAATGAAACTGCACATAACGAAGAATGTTTGACTATCCAGCTTGCGTTAGTACCCTGGGCACAGTGCGGGAGAGCAGATGGAGTATGCAGAGCAGACACATTTTGATTCATCGTGTTACCTTCCCCCATTTATAGCTTTTAAGCAAATACTGGATGAAAGCACATAAAAATTTACCGCATGTTGTATAACATGCACACTGAACCATCGGCAGATTGCCTCTGCAAATCCCAGAAGGCTTTAGCTAATTTGGCGGTCATCCGACAAAACATGTCAGCAAGGATTCATTAGTACTTTCGACGCATTTGTGCAAAAATTCATCTGAGTGCTTGTGTAAAATTTCTCGGACGCAATGAGCTCAGAGGAGAAGAAAGTGCAGCAACGCAACGATGAAACAGAAGCTGATCATAATGTCAAAGTAAATGCCTCCTTGCGAATGTCCATTCGTGAGATGGCCACATCAAAATAGGAACAGCTCATAAGTTGGAACTCGAAAACATACCATCAGTTTGGCGCAACTGGGCCAGCGACCATCGGCCAACTTTCTTCGGTTGTCCCTGGCCAGCAACCCGAGTCTCCATTGTTGCATTTGGTTGCGCGTCATCTGCAATAGTCTCGAAATAATTCAAATTCCAAAGCTGTTTCAGTTCAGTTGCAAATTCTTTCCCATTTCGGGCATTTTTTTTTCTAATTAAAATACTTCAAACTAATTAAACCAGTTTAATTAATCTCTAAGCTTTATCCAAACAAAATCGCTGCGCAAAATATAATAAGCCAAGATCTCCTCGACATTCACTCTCTATGAGAGGCTTACAGAAACAGCCCGAGTGGTATGAAATGTTAACAGCAACCACCCGCTGGCAGGGCTGTCGATGGCTCCCCCTTTTGGAGATTGCTTGGAAACAGGTTGAAGATGGGGAATACCAGAATTTTTCAAAATTTGAAATAAATCTCTTAGTCCAATTTTCACATTGTTTCGCACCAGACAATTCTCTAGAGGCCAAAAAAGTTTTTTTTCGCACCAAAAAATTACCTGTGTTTACACAAATTTTGCGCAAGAATTTGTGAGGAAGGCATAAATTTGTGGCAAAATCAACGCAATATCACAGGCATTGATGAAAACCCAAAAATTTTGAACTTTTTCGTATAAATTTAGTGTGCAGAAAAATGCAAATTGGGCAATGAAATTCAAAAAAAAAAAAAACAATAGGGAATAGAATGCGTCACACAGTGCTCAAAAGTTAACGAGGAATTTACGATTTAAGAATGACAAAAACGACATTTCATCCCGAACAAACACTTACACAGCATAACAAAAGGAAGATGGTGAGAATTTATGGGAGAACTGAAAAAACATTTCAAAAATCACAGTGACAAACTTAAAGGCAGTGCCGAGAAGTTAAACTGTAAAAAACTTCACTGCATCCAGCTTGCGCATTTCGCAGATCAATTTTTGTAAAGGAGGTAAAATTTTCCAGCAAAGTCCTACGGAGTCTCAATATTTTTTCTAAGCATATCAAGTTCATAAGAAGGAGTTAAAGTTTCCCGTAAGATTGTCGGACTACCAGTGTTTTCCCTCACCACTTTGTGCATTCGTGGTGAATTTACATGGAAATCCCTTGGAATCTTCAGTAGTAATTTTTCTCGGCACTCTACGGCTTCATGGTGAATTTATACGAAGGAAGTAAGATTTTCTAGCTAGAAAATCTTACTTCCCTCGCATAAATTCACCATAAAGCCGTAAATTCACCATTCATAGAATTTTCCTTCCTAACACTTTGTGATTTCATGGCAAATTTGTAAAAATTATGCTCAGAAAAAAATGCTGAGATTCCGGTACGGCCCCTCGGAATTTCAACATTTTTTTCTCAGTACTTTGTGGTTGTGCAGAGAATTTACAGAAGTTTCCTGACGAATCCCTCGGAGTCTCAATTTTTTCTCTCAGCAGCGAAGTATGACTTCAGCCTTTTTTTTCTCATACCTCCCGACCCCTTCCTAATCTTTTCATTCTTCATTACCCTTCAGGTTCAAGAGATAAGATGAAAAACTGAAACAACCTTACTGGTAATTCTGTCGAGTATTC